GTAATGCGGATGCTTGAATTGGCTCTGTTATGCACTAACCCATCTCCCACTTTAAGGCCATCCATGTCTTCTGTGGTGAGTATGTTAGAAGGCAAGATTCCGATCCAAGCACCAATAATCAAGCGCAATCGCTCAAACCAAGATGCAAGGTTCAGAGCCTTTGAGATTTTATCACAAGACAGCCAAACACACTCTCAAGACAGTCAAGTGAATAGGGGCATGTCTGGACCATGGATGGATTCATCCATTTCTCTTCCAAGTAAGGATGATCCTGAAGAATATTCTTCAAGTAAACTGCTCTAGGACTTTGATAACAAAGATTTAAGAGCCAAGAATGGAGAACCTGAGGGATACTGCCTGAGAATTGTATTATTATTGTTTTTTATTTTAAGATTCTTTGTATAGGAGTAACTGTAAACATATATTTGGTGTAAAATATGAGATTAATAAAATACGTGAGGAAGATTCCTCAAGATCTTTGTACTTGAACCTCCAGAGTTCTGTAATTTTTTAGTTTTTTGAGGAGTAAGTTCTTGTGTTGTTTCTTGTTCAATCTCAAATTTAAGTAATTGGCAGTATTTAATTTGAGTCATTCTTTAGAATTTAACAATCACATATCTTTGATGTGAGATTGGAATGTCACAAGCATTGAGGCTTATGAGTTTATATGGTGATTTACTAACTATGAAATCTTAAAATAGCAGAAAATATTACTCATTTTAAGTGATTGGGAATCTAAATCGATAAATACTTTGAAAGTATACTCTATGTTTTTACTTTCATGTTAAATCTTCAGCAAAAAGATGACAAAACGAGCTAGTAAGTGTCTCTTCTTGAACTTAAATAAGCTATATTCAACTGCCTCACCTTAGTTCATGGTCTTTAATATAAAAGAATTTTCCTACACCAGCAGAGTAATGCCATGTGAGCTGCACGTGTGTTTAGGTGTGTGTGCCAAGTGAATATGTAAAATCATCCCACCAAAATACGATATGCAGGACCACTGTTGAAGTGTGTGTCATGCTGCAGATTATCCTGATCCCTTACCCAAAATTTGATCTCTGATCGACCAATAACAGCCGTAGGATCAGATGCCCAAAACCAATCATATTGGTCTCTGTACTGATCATCTTATTCCCTATAATAACTGTCACTTTTTCCCTCGTTATAAATTCCATCTTTCAGTTTTTCCTGCCTCTTAAGCCTTCTTACCCAAAGAAGGTATTGCCATGGATAGTTCCAAAAAGCTTACTCATGAAATTAATCCTTCCATTGATGGCCTAAATGGGTTAGTCCTGAAAAACAATGAATCTTCTTCATTTGATAGTTACTGCAATAATTTGGAGTCGGGAGGCTTTTATGATGATCTAAAATGTTTTGTCCTCAAGGCTGTTATAAATGGAGCTGACAAGGTCCTCAAGGATGGAAAATCAAGGAAAGCAAGAGCTAAGCAGCCAATATCAAATTATACTGCAATCATAAATAATAATACTCCTACTTCATGGACTAATCAAGTTGGTCATGACGATCAACAGTGTACCTTCAAAGATGAGGAAGTTGGTCAATTGCCTTTCATCAACATTATATCCTTCCTTGCAGTTTTGGCTTTCAAATTTGCTGGTTTCCAATTCAATCTGCTTATTGGCCTCTTCATGCTTCCAATTTGGTTATCGAATTTTTCTTTCATGTTCTTGATGTTCCCATTTCGTGTTATGAAGCATGTTAGAGGGCATCTGATGAAAAAGCTGGTGACAATTTTAGCTGCCACCACTGTCAAGGCTCAAAAATCAATGGGAAGCATGGTGATGAGGTTCGGATCTGCCTTGTTTTGGTCAGTATATGTCTGTTCCATGCTTCTTGGGTTGCTACTATCTGGGTTTGTGTTTGGAGGTGTTGTTATGCGATGCCTGGTTGAGAAGCCTATACAGATTTCAACTAACCTCAATTTCGACTACACGAAAAGTAGTCCAGTTGCTTACATGCCATTAATGTCTTCTGCTAGTTTTGGCAATCCTCAACATTATATACAGCAAATTGATGAGAAGATTGTTAGTACTCATACAATTCCTTATAATCACAAGCTGCAGCTTACTGTCTCATTAACAGTACCCGAATCTGAGTATAACAGAAAACTTGGTGTTTTCCAGGTATGGATCGTAGTTACACTACAGTTTCTGCCATATAGATTATCTATGCGGGGGAATATGCTTATGTTATCATTCTTTGTTTTACTCTTTCTTTTTTGTATGACTGATGGAAGGAGAAACCATTTATAACTCTTTTCAGTTTTGGTGTGCTTGAAGGTTAGGGTAGAGTTCCTGTCTGCAAATGGTAAAGTTACTGCAAGCTCAAGCTTTCCCTGCATGCTGCAGTTCAAGAGCCATGCTATCCGTTTTGCAGAAACCATTATCAGAAGCGTTCCTCTGCTA